CGAGGACGTTGCCCGACACCTGTTTAGGCGTGTACAGCCCACTGAACACTTGAGAGTCTGGAACGTAAACTTCCAGTCTTCTATGCAGTCAAACGAGTTTAGTGCATGTACCTGGTTCAGTTGGTTATGTCACTAATAACCCAACCGTGTCCAAACGTTCGATTAGAAGAACACACTCAAACGTTGTATTGCACACCCGTAAAAGTTAGATATACACATAAAGGTAAAACCCTGCTTGACATAACACATAGGTGTTGGGAAACAGTCATTTTATTGGACAATTGGGATTTGACAATTTTGACAATTGGGACTTGAATTGTGGAATTTCATATAAATCCAAAGCCTGATGCGTTAGGTTCCGCTGCCCCCCACTTTGGTGTCTTTTAAGGATTTGTGATCTGACGCCGCCTAGTGTATCGTTCCGTCGAGTTTCACATAACCTTTTTGAGAAAACTATGCGAAGTTTTGTAGCATGTCTGTTATTCGAAAGAATTTTGTCTCCGCTTGAACGATCGGCACAAACAAAGACAGTTACTGTCCACAGATTTCTTGTCGTCTACCAACCACTACTACCCCTCAACTATTTTCATTGCACTATCAACTAACTTGATCTCCAAACGGATTTTCCACTGTTTATTCCAGTATCAAAACACAACGTGATTGCCATGATCATTTGTACTAGATCAAATCAGCTATACAAATGGAACGTTTCCTGAGCGACACAAACTCCTTGCTCAAGATACTTCGCTACTTCATTGTAACACTTAGCAAACGGACTGATAAACGGCACACACTTCGTTAACTGATTCGGTCGCTCCCTTCCCATAAAGGTTGTGCTCATGTTTCCAACTGTTGAAGCAAAAATGGAAACACTGTAAATGCTTCCGGCGTGGACAAGACACAACTTAACGAGCGCCGGAATTTCCTCTCTCAGACGCTAACCAATAAGCAATAACACAGACATGGAAGCTCAGCGACCTTACAAAATACACACTTGGCTTTCAGAACGCATATCGAACGAAAAACATCCAGCCGACCGACTTGTCTACTGTCTACTCGTTGGCAGCCAGCTTTAAAAAATGTAACGGATCCTCTTTCCAATTCACAAACGTTGTTGCAGGTGAACGCGAAACACGTGGAAAGCGACAGTCAAACATTGCATGCAGCTGTTGTCACTATTCGTGAAAATGCGCTCAAGTGAATAGCTGTAAAACCGCATTTCAGGAATAGCTATATCAAATTTGCGTGTAATCACAACAACAGCTCCCCAGTTTCTCCTTGACGCTTTAAAGAACGAAGACAACTAGTTTTTCTGTACATCAAAATTGAGGACCTACGATTACGTTTTCTAAACGCGATACGTTATGCATCAAAAATGTAGGCATTCCAACAATCGCTTCTTGTTTTTGAACCCATATAAACGACAAATTATTTAGTGGGCACAAGGTGACGGGTCTAATTGGCCGTGTGGAAATGTTACCAGAGCAGACAAAAACAAATGAAATTGGAATTGCTGAAAAGGAAATAAAACCTTAAGTTACTTTAGTTGACATAGAACAACCAACAAAACCAACAGTGATAAACCAAAAAAAGTTTGAAATGAGCATACCGTCGTCGATCGTACGGCTGTGTAGTTCGCGAAGAATGCCAGCTGAGAGTAGTAATCCCAAACAACGCTGAGCCGAAGACGAATTTGATTTCCTTTGAATAAGTAAGGACATGGTGGACGACTTTCTGGGCATTCTGGCAACTTCGTTTTGTAGGGTGGATTTTTCTCATAGACCACCACACTATTATGACCGGATTTTACCTAGGAAACAAGTTAGGATCACTCGTGTAATGCATACAAAAAATGTCTTATATGTCAGGCCTTACATAATGTTAGATGCTCATTGTATATTTACCAACATCCATACAGAGACCCTAAAACCTGCTTTCGTAATATGCGTCTCGTTCATGCACACATGTATAAATGCGTTACGACCAATCACGATCGCGCAACGCCTGGAATTAACGGTCACAAATGTAACGCTCAGTTTTGTTGTGCAAAATAAAATTACCACGGGCAGCTTGGTGTATTATTGACAATGAGAACTGTTTTTATCACTGAGTCAAAGATGTTCATATTTGCCTTCCTTCAACATCTCATATTACTAACGTCAACCTGAGATCCTATGTCCAAAAGACGCAAAATAAACGTATGTTCAGATGCGTTTTGTTCACTTTACCAGCTGGGTTACTATGTTATTCACCGGAAAGTTTGAATTCAAGATCGGTAACAAAAACAAGCCGAATGGTATTATTTTATCAGTCATTAGCTCAAACCTAAACGAAAACGAAAGTAAATTAACAAATTAGGAACGTTTCGGTAGATAGTTTGGTGTTGTAATGCTAACTCCTTTTCGAAGCCATGGACTGCTGACATATAGCAAAGCAGCTGGTTAAGTGAGGACACAACAGATGGTTTTTCGTACAAGAAATAAAAATTGTAATAACATACGATGAGTCACATCAGGTATTGGTCAGTTTATAAATTTCTCTCAAACAACGATGTTTTAACATACTGTACCCACATATGAAAATCAAAGGGTGAACTTGGCTAAGTTTAGGAAGCTAGCTCATAGACCTTCAGTACCCTGTCCGAACCCTTTTAAAAAAATTAAGCTGAACCGCCTGTGAGGAAAAATACGAGCGTAAACGATATTTGCGGCTAAAGACATAAGAAAACACGGATGTTTGAATTGTCCTAATTACAATAACAGACATCTAGCTCTATAAAATATTGATGACAATTAGACAACATTAAATCGGAAGAACAGAAAAGACCAGCACTTTAAATGCCTACACGCCCCTTATGAGGAGCTGAAAGTAAATCTGTTAGTCGATGGTCCACAGTAAACGTACCTTGTAATTCTTCAACTTGGTCATCAGTAGGAAGTCCAATTTACGAGTGACACTCAGCACGCATGTAGGTCAGCTTGCAAGTTTAGATAGATTCACTTTTCGGCGTAAACTATGAGTCAGTTTTATAAGTACTAGTTTACTGTTCATTGGAACATTAACTATCCGTTAATTCTCTGTTTTCCTTCTCACATCAACATTTCTGTGTCATGTGTACTTTCATGCTGGGGTAACACGCAGTATATTCATATGTCAGACTTTTCCCATTGGGGGACATCTATACAATGAATTGATAAACACCTGAGACACGTTTTACGGAACCTTTTTAAGTTACACCTTAGGAATTCAAGAAACAGTGTACTGAATCTAAGAAACAACTGTCAATATCAGTTACCTATCTCTCAGAGTAATCATCAACATCATTGTAATAATAGACTTCCCAGTCAAATTCCTTCGAAAAGATTCATTAGGCTGGAGTTTCACTCTTGTTAGAGCAACTGGTCAGTAGTTACTGTCCTTGCCACGGCCGAGAGTACTTGGATCTGCTCGGTCTGTCACATAACAGACCAGAGGTTTCATTTATAAGCAATGCATAAATGAACAATAGATTCAGACCAACTTCAAAAGCAAAAGTTCAAAGATGTAGCTCGCACGGTTTGTGACAACAAACTTTTTTCTTTACGTCCTGAGACTCTTCGGTTGTAACATCTTTGTTAAGCACCAATCCTTAAAATGTTCTCATAAACTATCCGGACATTTTTCCGCACAAACTGAATCTTACTACGTAATGCTGACGTGTTAATCACCATGTGTTACCCAGACTTTGGAACTGTAACAACCTCAGATCAAATCTCTCGAAAACCCTTTCCTCGTTCACTCTTTATTTTTGCAGTTTACTGACATATGTTGGGACAAACTTCCATCTAGAATAGATCAGTTGTTCGGACATACCTCGAGAATTCCAACTGTTAACTGTACGTACATATTCGAGGGAACAGTTATCGTGATGTCACAATCCAAGGTTACCAAACGAGAGGCGTTGTACCAGGGCTGGGTGATATTACCACTAGGATTCTTGAGTTCGGAGCCACACTGACCTAAACAACGAAGAAAATAACGGAATATATCAATCATTGTGTTGAACTGCTAGATCGAAGCCCAGCTACGTCAGGCCATGTTCATTTAAACTGTAAATAATGCAAATATCTGACGTGTTTGACACTATGAGGTGATGATATGGTTTGCCGTAATAAATCTACTTTTGTCTCTACATGTACAGAGCCAACTCGATACCAAAGATATCCAAACCGTTGTTCTCCTGCAAGAATCAAAGGGACCATTTAAATCAAGTAGTTGTGTTTATCAAAAACACAGAACCATAATGGTTATCCAAATACATTTAGAATTCCTGGAATGGTTTACATTGGAAGGCGATGCAAAAATATAGTTTATTGTTCTACACATTGTTTGGGAATACGGTGCAAAGCAAACTATACTTTATAAGATATCATGAAAAGTTACTTTAGACTGTGTTGTTACACAGTCGGTGTGAAGTACTACACAACAGTTCGTCTCAGACTGAAATCGGACTAAAACGTTAGAAGATATGCGTGATTTTCCACATTGTCGTACAAAATATGGATTGAACTCTTACAGAAAAACAAGGTGCAATTTGTTGTATGGTTGCCTCATTGAAATTATGATGCATACCGACTTTTCCTGCGTATGGTCAACTCGTGACCATCGATATCTGGTTTACAGCAAAACGGCAACTTGTCATCAATAGTGTCACTAGGCGTTCGTACCGCCCAGGTATCTGAACGGAATTTAGCACGACCTTGGCTGTTGTTTAACTATTCATTGAGGTATTGTGTGTCGAAGTTTCACTTCCATTCAACCAAACGAATGAATTTTATACATTTTGGCTAGATATGCACTAATTTTTCACATGACTGAACGAAAAGCAGCTTCCAGTGACACATGTTAAATCATATGAGAAGAAACCACCAGAAAGTACATGTTATAGTTCTTTTAATATTCCAGAAAAATTTTTGGACTAACCTAATTATTTTTAGATGAGACCCAACTATGAAAAATCAGGGCTTCGGCTGTATTCGAACCAGCGACAGAAACACCATGCCGTGGCAAGCGCTCTACCAGCTGAGCTACGAAGCCACGCCAGGAGCTCGGAAATTTCACATTTGTACTCGGTTACCAACTCGTCCCACTGTCTCATATGGAATCCATCAAATGATCCAGGGGATCGACTGCCCCGGCAGGATTTCTCGAACAGTTTACGCTGGAATCCGCCAACGTCACTGTTGAGCATAGAAATTGTATTAATAATGAGTTTCTGTCGCTGGTTCGAATCCAGCCGAAGCCCTGACTTTTCACAGTTGGGTCTCATCTAAAATCATTAATCTGCCAAACTACTCATTAGTAATGCAACCTAATTATGTTTATCTTTCGAATGGCGTAAATCGTCTTCAGTCCATGAAACCGATAAGGCTTCATCAAGTTTCATCAAATGTTTCCAGAGTTTTATGCTGTTATTGAAGGTGGTCACATACATGTATATATTTTTGACGAGACAAATGTGTTGAGCACCGCGTCTCTAACTTTGAATTGAGCACGACCGGGTTATTATTTCTAATATTTCAGTCACATCTGCTCGAACGCATTAATGAACAGTTTGATCGAGGTCTCCTACACATGGGTCTTACGATCTGCTATCACAGAACTCAATGCGTTTTTCTTCCGGTGACACTTCAGTCTGGATGTCACTCACGCGTGAATATGGCTGCAAGTTTAGATATGATAATTTGGTCATGACTGCCCTGAGGTAGGTAGAGTGGTCGTCAATAAGACTGTTTCATGAGTTAGTGAGAAAGTTCAAATTTTGATCAAGGCAAGGATATACACTATTGATGGGCTCTTGCAAGAACGAACCCCCGAAAATGTTTACATTTTGAACTTCATCGAGTGGAAAATTCATTTGATCATGAGACCCGCAACAACTCTAAATATGTGTCACAAATTCAGGTAAACTTGCCCTCAGAAGAGACATATTTTAAAAAACTGTCCACAGGAACGTACCATTTCCATATGTGCGCGGTGGATCCACTGAGAATATACAAGGATGCAATTAATTTTGATTCCTTTAGTCCGCAAGACAAGTAAATGTGTTAAACACGATAAATTAATGTATCTATTTCTCGTAACTTGCCGTTTTTAACGTTTGACTCAAAACATAGCGTTCGTTAGAACTAGTGGTGAACCGTACTCATACAACTTGTTGACCATAGCTGTATTGGAACTGCGCATTTAACTTTCATGTTGGTAGCTCAAATAAATATGTAAAACGACATTCTGAATGTTTGTAAACTACTATAAGGACAGTTTTTTATAAGAAAGGAAGGACAACTGATGAGTTTGTGCTTAACTAATGAAAAATGATGTGCCTAGAGCCGGCAAACAAGCCTCAATGTACAGATGACATAGACACTAAGTTGTGATAACTTTCAATAACAGGAAATGAGTTTCAAACTGCACAACTAAAAACAACCTAGCTATGAACAGGGACGTCACGCACGTGGTTTTATCCTTACTGGTACATTATGATTTATTTCTCAACTTTCCCAGTAGTTTGGTTTAATTCAGTATTGTTACGTGTACCAAAACAAATGCATTGCGTTGTTCGTGTGTTATTTTTCGAATCACTGGGTAAAACGCATCGAATCATCCATTCAATGCAAGTGGACATGTTCTGAAACCCCTAGTATCTGATTATCAGTACAAACATCCAGTATCCGTTGTGTGCTCGCAAATATCTGCACGTACAGCTGAACATTGTCAAAGTTCCATGCATGGTTTACTTTCTACAGGCATTTAGTCAAGTAGAATTCTACACAAGCAGTCAACAGTTATTGATTACCAACACATCGTGAGTTACATAAGCAGTGCTTTCTTTGATTTGGGAGTCAATCGAAAACGACGACTAACCAACCGATGTCCAGTTCGAAAAGTTATGGCAGCAGCCACGGATGAGTATTTGAATTATGATCATCAGCATCGTCAAGATTTTGGGTACTGGAACAAACGTTATGGCGCTGAACAGCCAACACGCATAGCATTTGTAAACGATAAATCAATCTACAAATTGATGTCTCCATAAGGACAAAATTCTTGGTTTGCCTTTCTCGCAGTTCAAGTTTAGGTTTTAGTTGGAAGTTAGTGTAACTAACATTTCGAGTCCTTGTATTGGTAACCGGTGGAAACTTTCAAACTAAGGTGGACTATGCTCGTCAGTGCTATAGATGTGAAAAACCTGTCGCTCAACGGAAACATAAACCTAATCCCCACTACCGTTCTAGTGTGTATTCCGACCGACACTTGCCTTTATGTGGTTGGGCCTTCGTGGTTATAACAATGTTAGCAAAGCTGAAGTGAATAGGCCTTGCTGAATGCCCACTTGTGAATTAGTGTCCAACGGGAACATCTGAATTATAAGATTATCGTAAACCCAACCAAACAACTTTCGGATATTGAATATTACATAAAGTCGACATCAAGTCAACCGTCTAGACGAGTGCGTACTGTTTGTTGCACAGGAGAAGCATATCGATTAATCTATTTCCGAATGACTGTCATGTTTGTTATACCCGTTTTCCCTTGAATCACCTGCAATACATTAACTCATTATCGCAGTAGATGACAAGGTGAAGTATACACTGTGAGTGGTTGTTTATTGTCGAGCAGGAATTTTACAACACATATGTCTGTAAGACTCCTTGGGGAATCTCCATATGTTCGTTTAGAGTAAGTATAATAAATGATGTTTACTCAGTCAACACTAGTGAGTAATACTTGAGGGGCACTGACTCGTTGAGGTCGATGGATGGCGCGATCACATCCCAACGTTAGGGTAGTCATTCATTTGGAAAACATCGCGAATCCTCTAAAGATCAAACTGCAGTCAACTAGATCACTTGAATGTCATACATTTCAAGTCTGTAACGTGCACGTGCTGAGATAGTCATCACCCGTCCCAAATCCCTGACGTAGAAGCGATACTTAGAGAGAGAAGGGTTACTTGTTTTCCCACTGAAATCTTATGATGTCATTTTATTGTTAAACGTAGATTTCCAAGTAATCACTAAAAGTATGGTTAGTGTATTGGTGTTGGTAACGTTCAGCACCTGTTTTGTATCACTTAAATTATGGTAACCAATACTCCCTTGAATAATGGTATATAAACCTCAACGATCCGGAACGGAGTTCAGCCAACTCTGTGTTTGTCCTGACCAAATACTCAACGACTTTTTCTGTGAGCATCCAGTTTATTTTTATTGGCTTGCTGTGGTACCATCGGATCCACTATATTCGACTCTTTCACGTCTTAACGTTATCTCTTCAGACCCGTTTTATCACTAAATGAGTAATTGCGTAAGGAAAACTTGATCACAGAATTATCTGCTTTCGAAATTTTGACCTCTGATGCGTGTTTTAGTGAAGCTGTGTATTGCGCGTGTGAGCAGTAGTAAAAGATTGGGTGGACTGAAGTCATGATATATGGACAATTTCATAAGTTACGTCAGGTCATCTACTTCTCATGTATTCATATAGGAGCAAAACACTTGTTTTGTCTCTTATATTGACAGAAGTGGTGCACTTAAGTGAGAACTGAATTGTGAATCACCCTCAACGTCCAGTTCAAAATACTTTCGTAATAACATTTAACCTCTATAAGTAGTTGCTTTCACAACACTATTCACCATGATTTCAACAGGTAAGAGAACAAAATAGTATACTGTTCGGTGCAAAAAGTAGCACCACATAAAGGAAGTCGTAAAAACTCACCAGACTTATAATTCACATCGAATATCTTGTAATCACGCACCACGAGAAACATTTCGTTTCTCGGTGAAATGTATCTTCTCAGTGACTTCATGTCGGTCACAGTCAGCAGTGTTTCACTGTTAGCTTTCAAGCCGTCATAAATTGTCATCTGGAAAGACTTGTCACCCTGTAAAATAGAAATGTTCAAAGCAGATGAAAAATGGAGTAGTTTGATAGCCCGTACATTCGTGGCAATCAGAAAATCACGTAAATTAATGTATACAAGTTCTCATCACGTTGAAAGTTACCGAACGCTTGCCACAAATGTTTGCCACATGGCAAATGTCACATATATTTAATCGTAATGTCCGCCCTTTTGGAAGCGCGGCTGTGAATTAATGGTTCACTTTGGTTAAAGCACGTCCACAATGTCTGTCTGAATACCCTACACTGTTGGACTCATTTTCCAACGAATAGAATTAAATAATGCAACTCGGTGCAGAAGTCCCCGTGACGGAGTTACCAAATTGAGCTGAAAGTAGAGTGACTGCGTCGCTTCTAGAAACGATCGGACAATGTGACCACAACTCAGATGTGGCTACTCGTTGAGGTTGGATAGTTCGATTGCTTTTACTTCACAGTGGTCAACACCAACTCACAATTATGGAGGTTGACTTCAAGATCACGACTCCTACAACGACAATCAACAAAAGGGGAATTTGAGTCTGCCGTTCTTGTTTGGAAAGGACTGACCAGAATGTCTATCCGAATGCAAAACCCGTAGGTATTCAAAACATATCCGTCTACATCTTCAAATACTGATTATCAATAAACCTTTCTTAATCAGATAAAAATTAAATCAGGTTATCGACCCGTTTGAAGGAATGAAAACGAAACAATCTAATTGCATGAGTGGCTTTGTCAACTCATTTAACAGCTCATTAGTTTGTTTCCAAATAGTTGTGATATAACGAGGAAAATGTGAATCGAAATGTTTAGAAAACTTGTGGTAGAGCGTTGAATTTTGTTTTCCGAGGTACGACTTGGGCTACCGGAACAACTTCATTAAAGACAGTCATACAGACACCGATTAGATGAATGTTTCACACAGCTGAATAAATTTAAATGCAACAGGTATAAAACGTCAGACCAGAATTTGCTTACGACTTTATAGCCAGCACATAAGTGTTTAATAAACTGTGTTGGCATTATGGTGGATTTGAATACCGTTAACCGTGGAATAAAGATGCAGAGAGAACAGTGGTAGTCTTCACTTATTTACGAAACGATAAAAGCCATAGGACAGCTGTGGAGAATTGCTTACTGTAACATTGTTT